ACATGACGGAAACATTGTCACATACTCGTTCTTGGATAATTGATTCCGGTGCAAGTGAACATATCACTTGTGATGATAACGGTCTTTTTGACGTCCAAATTCACCCCTCAGAACCAGCTGTCAGAATACCCAATGGAGAATTAATTCCAGTTTCTGCCATTGGTAGTCTATATCTGCCTAATGGTTTCTATCTTCGACGCGTTTTATATGTCCCACAGTTCCAATGCAACTTGCTCTCCGCAAGCCGTCTCACTAACAACCTCAACTGCACACTCACTTTTTATTCTAACACCTGTATACTACATGACTTATCATCGAAAATGCAAATCGGAATAGGACAATTCCATAATGGTTTATATTATTTGAAACCAGCAAGGGGTAGAGAGGTTGCAATGTCAGCCACTATTTGTTCCGATTTATGGCACCAAAGGCTGGGATAAGCCTCAGACGGGAAATTACAACACATCACCTTTCTAAAAGGTTTTCAGCAGAATAGTAACTCTTGTGATCATATCCCTGTTTACGAGCCAAGCAAACACGCCTTAGCTTCCCCAAAAGTACAAGTAAGACCACTTGTTGTTTTGAATTAATACACTGTGATATATGGGGAGCTTATAGGTGTGATTCTACTTCCGGAGCACGTTATTTTTTGTCTATAGTTGATGACTTCACTAGAGGCGTTTTGGTTTATCTTATGAAGAATAAATCCGAAGTTTGTCAAAAATTGATACAGTTTTGCAATATGGTTGAAACTCAATTTGGAAAAAGGGTTAACGCATACGGACGGATAACGGAGTTGAGTTTCAAACCAACTTTTTATTTCAATATTATGAGCGTTGCGGAATTATTTTGGAAACATCATGTACGGATACCCCTCAACAAAATGGGGTCGTGGAACGTAAACACAAACATATTTTGGTAATCGCCAGGGCACTTCGTTTTCAGTCCGGATTGTCTATTGATTTTTGGGGAGAATGTGTTCTCACCTCCGTTTATATTATCAACCGCCTACCATCACCTGTCATTCAGAACAAATGTCCTTTTGAGGTATTGTTTGGAAAGGTACCTAGTTATGATCATTTGCGTGTATTTGGATGTTTGGTATATGCTCACAATAATAAACGTAAAGATAAATTCAGTGAGAGGGGGAGTCCTTGTATATTCCTTGGATACCCCTATGGTCAAAAAGCCTACCGAGTTGTTGATTTACAAAGACGGAATATTTACAGTTCCCGTGATGTAACCTTTTTTGAAAATGAATTTCCATTTAAATGGATCAATCAAGAAGGGCTTGATTTGGGATCAATGGTTGAACTTGTATATCAAAAAATTGTTACAAATGATGGTAGCTCCATAATTCAAGTGCATCCAATAGATGAAGGGGGCCCACTGAGCAAGCCTTCATATGGTCAGATTTCCTCTCCAGCGGCCTTCTACGACAATTCCCCTGCAGGTGTAGACCCACAGCTAACAAGGCATCACCTACGTACACGTCCAAATAAAGATAGGGAAGAGGACCGGGCATGTGAAGACTCAGGGCCACCTCATCATAATCATGCACCGACCGAACAATTTCATGACCGGACAAACTCACAGCCTCCAACGCGGGTTCCTTCGGCTCGAAATGAAAATTTGGACGAACGTGGAAATGATACTGGTGGGACCGAGCTATTAACAACCGCGGGCCAACCTGATTTGACGGTCCCATCTTCAGTCACACCTTCAGGAAAAGAGCTTAGAAAGAGTACTAGAGTCCGACAGCTTCCTAAGCACTTGGGTGCCTTTGACATCGATTTACCACCATCGATAGATCACTCTCGGTCAACAACTAACCCTGCTGGCTCACTAGTTTACCCACTTTCTCATTTTATTAATTATGATAGATTTTCGACTAATCACAAAGCCTTTTTATCGGCCATCACTTCCCGTGATGAACCAAAGCGATTTTCACAGGAAATTCAAGATCCTCTATGGTGTGAAGCCATGCAAAAGGAGATTCGTGCTTTAGAAGAAAATGTTACATGGACTCTAATTCCTCTACCACCGGGAAAGAAAGTAGTTGATTCTAAATGGGTATATAAAATCAAGTATAAACCCAATGGCGGCATAGAACGTTATAAGGCTCGATTAGTTGCCAAGGCTTTCACACAAGTCGAAGGAGTTGATTTCCATGAAACCTTTGCTCCAGTCGCCAAACTCGTCACTGTACGATGTTTATTGGCCGTTGCAACCAAACATAACTGGGAATTTCACCAGTTAGATGTTAATAATGCATTTCTTCACGGAGACCTACATGAGGATGTTTATATGCGTGTTCCGTAAGGATTTGCTAAAGATGGAGACATGCGTGTTTGCAAGTTGCACAAATCCTTGTATGGATTACGTCAGGCTTCCCGCAACTGGTATCACAAATTCACTCAGGCCCTGACGGGGGTAGGTTTCCGTCAATTCAAAGCTGATCACTCTTTGTTCATTTTTTGTCAAGGAACCATCACCAGATTTGCTCTTATTTACGTTGACGATGTCATACTAGCTGGAAATGACGCCTCTCATATCTCTATTGTTAAAAATTACTTGGACGTCAAGTTTAGCATCAAGGATTTAGGAAAATTAAAATATTTCCTTGGCATTGAAGTTGCGCGTTCTCCTGAGGGATTTGTGTTAAGCCAACGCAAGTACACTCTAGACATTTTGGAGGAATGTGGTCTCTTAGCCAGCCGACCAAGTTCATTTCCAATGGAGCAAAATCTGAAACTTCGTCCAGATGATGATATCCCACATGTGGATGCTTCTTCCTATCGACGATTGATTGGTCGCCTACTATACTATACCTTACAGTCACTCGGCCATATATTGTTTACTCAGTCAGCCAGCTCATTCAATTTCTCAATAACCCCCGACAGACTCATCTGGATGCCGCCAATCGTGTCATACGTTACTTAAAACAAACACCTGGTCAAGGCATATTCTTATCATCCGACAATGACTTTACCCTTAACGGCTATTGTGATGCAGATTGGGCCGGTTGCTCATTTACTCGCCGCTCAAGTACTGGATATTTTATCACCCTTGGCAGTTCACCCATATCTTGGCGGACAAAGAAACAATCTGTTGTATCTCATTCTTCTACTGAAGCAGAATACAGCGCCATGGCCGTCACAGTTAGTGAGATCTTATGGTTACGTTGGTTACTTCGAGATTTTACGATTAATCTCATGGGTCCCATTCCTCTTTTTTGTGACAATCAAGCCGCAAGGCACATCGCACTTAACCCGGTATTTCATGAACGTACCAAACATGTGGAGATGGACTGTTATTTTGTTAGAGAAAGGGTTGTTGGTCATGAAATTAAACCATGCCCCATCTCTACAGATAATCAAGTGGCAGATATCTTTACAAAAGCACTCGGTTCCGTTCGATTTCAGTTTCTACGGAGCAAGTTGGGTGTTCGTGACCTTTACACTCCACCTTGAGGGGGAATATTGAAATATTAATTATTAAATAAGTTCCATTATTATGTGGACATTTCTTTGTAGGTTCATCCATAAACATTACTACGTGGGTTGCATGACCCACTCACCCACTTACACTTTTCCTCCACCTTTCCTCTTTCGTACATGTCCGATAATGTATTGTAATATATATAGATTTTGGTTCAAATGAGAACGAGGCTTAATGTGAGTACGTGAGAACACATCCTGGCCATCCAAAATCAATAGGCTTGTGCGATCAAATTAGGCGTGAGAAGGGACAATTACGTCATATCAAGTTGCCGGCGGTTGCATTGGTCTTGCCGTTTTTATTCTCTTTGAACTTACCGTTTTTTCAGTGCTACGCACGTCTGGGATTGGAAAGAAGAAAATTTATTTCTTTTTAAAAACCTTTCCTTTAATAATCATTGTCTTCATTCCCTCTTTCACTGCGATGGATTGTTCTTCGTGCTAATATTGTCCGGCCTCCATCATCTTCTACGTCAATTTGTGGGAACCATCATCGAGTTTCCGTTTAAAAAATTTACGCTACCACCGTTTCGGACATGGAACCAGGTACTTACATTCTTAATTTCATATTTTACTTTTATGTGAGTGTATTACATCACATCTTATACAAATTGTCATTTATGTGTTCTGCATAATCGTGTATGAAATAATCACACGTATTCAAAAGCTCGAACTTTTATGGAACTTAAGTTATTTCTCTATTCATTGTTGTTATCGCTTTTTAAACGTTTACATGATATTGTATTTTTAACTTTTGTTACGTTCACAGCTGTTATTATCTGATACACATTTTATTTATGTAATCTCAAACTTTAATGGAGCTTAAGTTTTCACGGTATCCAGTGTTGGGTTCGTATTTTTTCTTTTATATGAAAATGTATTTTTTACATCTTTTGCTTTCACCTTTTTTGTTATATTATGCACATGTTATTTAAAATTCATGCACAACTACTGATGTGGTGGTTGGAACTGTAGGAGAATCAAGTACTTGTCAGATATCTCCCGGTATGACGAAGTACTGGATTCCAGAATGCAATAGTGATTGTAAGCCCATTATTGGTAAGGTATTCAAAACTTTACAACATGGTATTGACTTCTATAAGGAATATGCATCTATATGTGGCTTTGTTCCGCGCCTAACTACTCAGAGGAAGCACAGAGATGGTACGAATTTGTCAAAACGTGTTGTTTGCAGTCGTCAAGGTTTTAAACCTGATGCGGTTGTGCAGAACGAAGGTCCCATTCCTAATTGTGATCCTTTAATTCAGAATGTTAACGTGGAAAATAATCCTTCTTCATGCATGGAAAATTCAACCCTTGATGATCCGTCTACATCAGATGATGAACCTGATTTGAGTGTACCCACATCTTCAGAACCGTGTAACTTAGACAACGATTCCAATAGAAGGCGTCGTGTATCTACAAGAAACGGTTGTACAGCATGTGTAGTCTTTAAATTTCGTGGTTCAAGTGGTTACTCCGTGTCTAAGTTTGAAGAGCGTCACACTCATCGTATGTGCGATGAAATGCACAAACAATTTCTAAGGGTCAATAGAAATCTTGATTTTGGTCACAAGAAATTTGTTATCAATTGTGCGAAAGCTAATATTGGTCCGATGAAGTCATATAAACTCTTTAAAGAGTCTGTTGGTGGATATAGCAATATTGGTGCGACTGCTGTAGATTTCAAAAACTTTAAACGAGATTTGAAGGCATACATTGAGGGTGTCGACGCTCAAATGTTGATTGACAAGTTATTTAGAAAGGTTGAAGTGTGTTCATAATTTTACTTTGATTATGATGTGGATGAGAGTGATCAGCTGACAAGGATTTTCTGGGCGGATCCGTTGGCTAGACAAAATTTTTCTTATTTTGGGGATGTGGTTTCTTTTGATTCAACATTCAGTACAAACAGGTATGTTTTAACACTTATTTTTGGTGTTGCACATTTGTTTGAATAGGATGCATTTGAAATTTATATTCTTGTGTAGGTACAATATGGTTTTTGTGCCATTCACCGGTGCAGACAATCACCAAAAGTGCGTTACTTTTGCTGCTGGGTTAATTTCGAAAGAAGATGTAGACCCCTATGTGTGGCTTTTGTCCCGATTTATCAATGCGATGGGCAGTGAACCAACATGCGTAATAACGGATCAAGATCCAGCTATGCGCATTGCTATTGAAAAGGTAATTCCTAACGTTAAACATCGTTATTGCATGTGGCATATAATGAACAAGTTGACAAGTAAAGTAGGTCCTGTGCCTAGTAAGGATGTTGATTTCTTGACAAGAATTAATGGTGTTGTGTGGAGTCACTATTTAGAGCCCGCCGAGTTTGAGGCTAAATGGAATTCTATTATGGCTGATTTTGACTTGTTGAACCACAAATGGTTTGTGGACTTGTTCAATCTTCGGAAGTTTTGGATTCCGTCTTACTTTAGGAATTTGTTCTTGGGATGTTTGCTTCGAACAACTTCAAGATCTGAAAGTGAGAATAATTTTTTTGGTGAGTTTACTAACCCTCACTTCAGCCTCATTGAGTTTTACATGCAATTTGAAAGTGCAATGGATGTTCAACGCCATAATCATGATAAATTAAATTCAGGTTCCGAGTCCTATATTCCTGTTTTTAAAACCCCTCTACCCCTTGAAAAGCACGCTGCGGAGATGTATACTCTCACAGTATTTTATTTAGTGCAAGATGAAATTGCATTTGCTTGTTTTAATTGCCGTGTTCTTAGTGTGCATGACCATGACGGTAATTTGGATTATGTTATTCAAGATGAACGTGGTATGATATTCAAGGTAGAATTCAATGTTTCCGATACAAAAGCATCTTGCGAGTGCAAATACTTTCTTCGATTGGGGTTGGTGTGTAGACATATGTTTGTGGCTTTCAAAGACTCGAAGCTCAATTGTATTCCTCAGCACTATGTTGTTAATCGTTGGTGTAAAAAGCGTCTACTACGACCGCTACATGGTATACCAAATGTTCTAGTTCAACAGTGTGCTGAAATTGAAGAGAAGAAAAAAATTATGCAACAGGTTTGGACAGATTTGCACTCTTGTGTTGCTCTAGCTGAAAAGGATCTAAGCAGACTAAAACAATTTGCATCTGTGATTAGTCAAGAAAAGCATGCACTTCTATCATATGACAAAAGTGATCCACTCCCTACGACTAAGGATTCCATGATCCAATCTTTTTATGGGGCAAGTAGGCCTTCTGATGTTACTGTGTTGCCTCCTCAAAATGCCAAAAATAAAGGATCTGGAAGGAGGATTAAAGGTGCACGAGAGGTATCCATTGAAGAAAACAAGAGACCGAAGAGATTGTGTAGGTCATGTAACGAAATGTGCAATCATGATAGTAGAAATTGTCCTTTAAACTAACTTCAATAAGTGTTGTGTAAGACATTTTTATACTTTCGTATTCATGTGTATTTAAGAAATTTGAACACTTTTAGTTTCTTTATATTTTAATTATTCGATCTTCCTAGACATTCGTTTCTTACTATTACAAAACCTTGTGTGCACTTCAGAGTAAATCTGTCAATTATTTCTTGGATAAATTATATTATGACAGTATTACATGTCATAATTACCAAATTACAGACCTTTGATTTTGTTACACTGATTAATGAATACAATGCACATTTATTTTTAAATTCCGTCAGCTAGTTCACACTCCTGTTACACAATATAATATCATTCAATTGCACTTCCACATTTCACTCATGCACATCACCACCTTAATGTTATTGGTTATAAAAAAAATAATATAATACCACCTCTTCCAATAAAATATTGACATATTATATTACTACTATCGTCAACATTACACATTATAATCCTACATCTGTCCACATAATGATAATAGTGTTTTTAACCCAATCAATGAAATTACACAATTGATTTGTGTAATCAACGTCACTACAAGTCTGTATCATAAACCATATTCAAAAAGCATACATACCACGCATTTGAAAACAAACACAAAAATTGTATCACAATATAATTAAGTATTACTCAATCATATATTCCAATAATATATCTTTCAAGTGCACAACATGAACTTTCACTTTCATCATCCCAAAACCAAAATCAACTCAACTCAGTCTCCCACTCTACACTCTCGACAGGCATAAAGAAAACAGGTTATGGAAGACATTTTGACATACCAGGTCTTCGTAGAGGAAGAGAAAGAAGAGAATCGGCTGCTTACGGGAGGAAGTCAAGGAACGAACAAAATTTAGCTGCGGCAGTTACTAATTGACATTTATGTAACTTTCTAGGGCTTTGAGTTGAATAATGATTCGGGCTACAATAACTAATTTGGGTCTCTTAGCCCTCCAAGAAAATACTTGTGACCCAACTGAATAATAATATTTCCCTTTTCTATAATCTACTAAATGAATATTAATATAATATTTCCTTCTTCGATTAAAATTTTTTATGAGCTTATCGGTCAACGTTACCTGCCAACAACAAAACATGGAAAAAGGATACATCACATTATTCATAAAATAAACTTATTTAACTGACTAAATAGGATTAAATATTAATGTAACTATATCGCTAAAATCGGGGTGTTACAGGACCGTTTCCTCCAGAAAATAGCTAAATGTACAGTCTGTATACAGTGCAACCGGTGCATGGTGATCAGTATGCTCCCATGGCTACATGAAATGTAACTCGTGTGATTCCACATGTAATTTCACGTTAATCAAAATGTAAATTACACTCATTCACATGTAACTCATTCACACGTTAATTGAAATGTAACTTGGAAACAAATTAGATTTAACTTGGGATATGTAACTTTAGTATTCTAAAATGTAAAAAGCCTTTATACAGATGGGACTCTCTTAAACACCTCATACTCTCTTATCAGTTCAAAAAGCTTCATTCCTCCCATCAACTGAGATGACCCGACACAAGAGCAGCCGCCTAAGCCCAAACACAATCTCCACCTCAAGAAAGATCATGCATTCTTCTGCTTGGTGATGGAGGTGGCGAGCAACAAGTATATGGTAGCAGATCCCCGTCGGTGACGAGCTGCATTTTTCTAAATGGAGTGGTTTCGAAGTTGAAGATGAACTAAAAATAAAATAGTGCATATTACCGGAAATGATTTTCTTTTGCAAGAACCCAAAACAAAACTTGTCATATTTGCAGGGATAAAAACATATTTAAGTTTTTTTATCAATATTTGCAATATTTTTTCATAAGCTTTAGCATTGATTTGGTATTGTACATTTGTACTGTACCGATTTGTACGGATTCGAAAAGACATAGTTCTAACCTTAGAATTAGACCATACCAAACCATTACAAAATTCACAGGTAGGTTATTATTTTTGTTAACAATTTTGCTACAGGTACCTCAATAGGTACCTCATCCATACCCCATATAAAAACTCAAATGAAGTGACAGACAACTACAAACCTAGTTTCAACAGTTCAAAATGAAGTGACAGACAACTCAAATGACTTGCCAGACAACTAATTTCACATGACAAACAACTACAAACCTAGTTTCAACAGTTCAAAATGAAGTGACAAACAATTTAAATGGCTTGCCAGACAACTAATTTCACATGACAGACAACTACAAACAAATTTTAAACAACTAAGCCATTACCAATTACTAAGAGAAATCAACCATATATGCACTTCAAGTAATACACCAGACAACAATATGCACAATTTAAAGTTGAAAACTATACTAGTAAATGATATATCTAGACAGACAATAGAGATGACTAGATAGACATTAGTTTTACACAGAGAGACAATAAGTTTACACATACAAACAATACGATACCCAAACAGACAAAAAATCAACACACATTACTAGATAACTATACATGCATGTAATGTTTGCAAAAACTTACACATGTTCAAAAAACCAATCCGATTGTTCAACATTGTACAACATTCGACACATTCTCCAAATGTAATATGTAATGTTTGTAAAAAAATACATGTTCAAAAAATCACAAGTTCAAAACCGATACATTTCCCCAAAACTCATTAGCAAATTCAAGTCTTTTGTTCGACATGTTGGTGTAGTCATAGTCAGTAAGCATTAACTTCCCCACTAGTAGCTACTCTGCAAATGATAGGACCATGATGTCACATTCTCAAGATCTGTAAACAGGCAAATAAAGCACAAACAAACATTTAGAACACTTAACACAAACAGTACATATAATGCAAAAACAATGAGTTTAATACCCTACAAGTCTTCATAGTCATAAACTTTAAAATGACAGACAATTTCATGACTCATCCAAACTCTTCACAACAACATGACAGAGAAGTGATTACAGACAACTCATAACAAATACAAACAATTAAGAAGCAAATGACAGACAATTAAATACCAATTACAGACATCGATTTTGCAAATGATCGACAATTTCACGTGTCTTACAAACAAATACATACAACTCAAACGAAATACAAACATTTATGTGCAAACTACTTTAACACTTACTCAACTAAACTAATACAACATGCAGTAAAATACATATGTAAAATACCTTCATGTGAATATAGACAGACATTTGTTATATGTACACAAACATTTTAAGTTGTTTGTCCACACACACATTTTATGTAGGACTCTATCAACTAAGAAACCACATCTATTCTACATTCAGTTTATGCTGGACAGACGCTGCAATTTGAAGTTGTCTGTCAGACCAACAAAATAACAACAAATGAGGAAAAACGACATACTCTTCTTCAAGACTTCAAAGTCCACACCTTCATCTTCTTCTTGCCTTGATGTCGCATTCACTTCAACAACAACAGGAGATGGAGGATTACCACCGTCACCCAGGTCATCAACATCGAATCTCAAATCTCCCTATGTCAAGTCATCCATATGAACCTCATCATTAAAGTAAGATATATTCTTGTCTATATCCATCGAACAAGAAGAAGAAACGAAGCAGATGAGATGATTTTGTGCACTGTAGCAGCTTCGAAGGAAGCTCCTTCTGTTTGGCGTAAAAGAAGCGGAAAAGAATAGAGTGGGTGGAGGAGAAAAGTGAGAGGAAGATATTTTTGTAAAGGGGGTAAAAAAAATATGGTAAAAAGGGGGAGTTTTATATGAGGTACAAATTGGGTAAAGTTGGGGTAGCTATAACAAATTTCTTTTGTTAATTTATGGACCGTTTTTGAAAACTACACCATGTCCTACTATGTAGAATGCATTTTTGACACGGTAGTGCGGATTGGAATTTGGGAATCGTAAAGATGTATGGTTATGAGTTTTTTTATTTTTATTTTTATTTTTATTTTTTAGTAGCTGTCTAATTTGTAATCAATTTTCCTAAGTTCCTAACAATAAATACTCTCTCCATTTGAAATAATACACTCCGTACTAGATACTTATTTCCATTTTGTGTTGTCCGTATTCTTCCTTTTAGGCTTTTACTTAACTTTAAAGTTTTGTTAAATAGGAGCGTCGTTTAGATATCTTATCATATTACGTTTTCTTAATCTCAGTTCAAAAGTTTTCACTTTTAATTTCAGATTTAGGTAGTAACAAGGATGAGAGTTCTATTTTTCGAGCCTAAATTCGTAGTTGGGGAATACGGAGTAATATTATCTAAGCTTAACGCCTTAACTATCTACCCCTTTCATCCTAAAATGATTTTCAAGGTTACTTTTTATTGATCAACAAAGTTTTATAGCCTAAATTTCTAAAATAGAAAATGGTGCCTAGGCTTAGCTTTCTATTTCCTCTTTCCTAAAATGATTTGTAATCTTATCTTCATCAAAAAAATTCATTTTATTCTCTTAGAGTCTGTTTGCAACAGCTACTACCTTAAAAAAAGTTTTTTTTTTAATGAAATGGGGAGAAGTGATTATATAAAAGTTGGTAGTGTTTGAGAAAAAAATGATTTTGAAAGGAAAAAAAGTTGGTAGTGTTTGGTAAAATAAGTGCTTTTTGTGTAATAGAAAAAGTAAAAGCATTTTTGACACGAAAGCCGAGAAGCCCGAGAAAAATAAAAGTTGGTAGTGATTGGTAAAATAAGTGTTTTTTTAAGCATTTGCAAACAAACCCTTATTCTTAGTACCAATTTGTTGTGTACTCAAATTCTATTTTTCCCATTCAATTGTACTTTCGGTCTACTTTAAAAATTTAGTGGCCGTTTGGAGCCCCAAAAATAGGCTGATAAGTTTGAAAGAGTGAAAAAAATCACCAAATACATGCTAAATGTGATGGTTGGAATTGGGCTGATTTTCCTTATCAGCAAAAAAAATAACAATAGAGTCACTTTTTCAACGAAAACTTTTTAATTCATCGTTGCTTTCCGTAATGACTCATTTGCTCACTTTTATATACTTATCGACTTCTCCTCCTTCCTGACACGAAATCGACGTCTTCTCCTTCAAGATCAACGAGTTATTCATTTGCTCGGCTATGTAACCTCTCCTTCCAGATCAA